GAGAAGAAGCTGGTGCAGGAAAGGAAGGGCATTGCCTTGCAGCCTGTGCTATAATGCTAAATAACAGGAGTCATCATTCAGTTCTTGACCAAGGTATAGTGACACAACAAAATAAAACAGCTTCTCAGGCTACTGCCCCCACCTCTGAGCCCGCAGCATATCTTCCCCCTGGCAAAGCTGTTGTGTTCATTTAACGATACCAGGATTTGCTTCTGTTTTGCACCTATGCTGCTCTTATTCAGCCCCACAGTTACACTCGGCTACTCCCCTACAAGCTGTCGGGGCGGGGGGAGCAGAAGGGGCCCCCAGCGCACACTTCATCACCAAAGCAAGCCACGCTGGGCCGGCCACTCCATCCTGGTAGCCAAGGAGCGAGGGAACATGGAGCGCGGGGATAAAGCCGTCTCTCCTGCCCTTCCCTCCCCCCCTTCCCAGGCAGAAGAGAGAAGCAGAAAGCATATCCTATTTCATGCCTCTGGCATGTGGAAGTAAGAACATTATTTTATAATAATCTTATTATTAAAGATCAGATGATGATGGCTGATGACGAGGCGCCATTCGGAGGAGCCCCATCAGTGGGCTCATTGTCGGCACCAGCAGCTCTGCCCGAGCGAGCTGAAGGCAGCCCTTCTCGGGCAGCCCCGCACCCTCGCTGGGGTCTCCAGAGGGGCAGTGTGGGGTCACAGCAGGGCCACGGGCTCAACATTTGTCTAATAGCAAACCCAGCCTAGACTGGAAAACACAAAGGGCATGGTTGTGGAGTTATGCGAAATGCTAGAGCTGCTTTTCTCTGTGCGGCAGAAAGCAGATCCCTTCTCCCTTTCTTTCATTTAAAGAGTAAAACCTTTCTGGGTTTGATTTTTTTCCTCTGTTTGCCTAGTTTTAAAAATCAAATCCCCTGTTCACAGGTAGCTTTATCTTAGATGGCTATTTTTCACATCAATGAAGATACCAAACAAAATGGCCCCCTCCCCGATGGACACATTATTGGCATCAGGCTTAAGGTTTTGAGCTTTTTAAAGCCATTTTGAGGGCTTTATAAAGGTCCTTAAGCTTCTTTGAGCTTTATAAAGGCCACCTGGGGGGGAGCTCACCCTGCAGTACAAAGGCAGTGGGTTGCTAAAAGACAGACCCGCCCTCCCAAGAGACACTTTTTCTAGAGCTGCAGGTGGAGATTTTGCTACCTACGAAGCAAGCGTAGGAGATAGATCCGCTCCTGTGGTCTCACCGAAGGCAGTGGGTTGCTAAAAGACAGACCTGCCCTCCCGAGACACTTTTTCTAGAGCTGCAGGTGGAGATTTTGCTACCTACGAAGCAAGCGTAGGAGATAGATCCGCTCCTGTGGTCTCACCGATAGCACAGACCACCCAGCATCCTCCCTGGTGTTTAGGACCACGACCTCAAAGGTTGCACAGAGCCCTTGTGAATAGTAACTGGGAATCGTCAACTAATCATCAACTTCAGTGTGCCAACGCACAGAGCTCGGGGGGGTCCCAAACATGCAAGCCCTCCAGCCGGCCGTCATCGCTTTCAGCAGCATGGGGAAGTTTCATGCAGCTGTAGGTGGCTCTGGGATCAGTGTCTCAGCCATAATCACTCCATGCTTAGCTCCACCGTGCAGGAGGTTTAGTGTGGCTACATGTGATGTTAATGTGTGAGCTCCCTTTCACCAAAGCTCCCTCCTGTTGCAGCAGCTAAGCAGAGTAGCACCTCAGGTGTGCTGAAACAAGAGTAGGGGTGTGGTTAAATTGACCTCAAGTGTCATACGGAAAAAAGGGATTTGTCCTCTTATCACGGATACGTCCAGAGATGATGTACCTGCTCTGCTGTGCTCTCATGGGTTGTGTGTTTTGCCCCGAGTTGAATACCGTGCTATGGCTCAATTACCATCGTGCTGGTCACTGCTGGGATGGAACAGGATTGCAGCAGCAATCAGCTTTCATTTGGAATTAAAAATATAAACATGTTGCCTATGTAAACAGAAAAAAAATATATACAAACAGAGTGAGCGTGTACGCGTGTGATAAAGGTAGTAACTTTCTGAGAGCCACACCTGATGGTGATGTGTCAAGGGCCACCAGAGAACTTTAACTGTGAAGCTCTCTCTGTGGCACAAAATACACCAAACGGTAGGTATCGCCTCCTTCATAATCATCAGGAAAAGCTGACCAGCAGCCCTGCACACTGTGGAGGAGTCTCCAAGCGGAGGGGTGGGGAAGTACCTCATTTTAGTGTGAACGGAGTCCTGCCTTGAGAAAGGAAGCCCCCGTTGCTGCTGGTGCTGCCGTCGTGCCCGGCGTGCCAGGGCATCCCCACGGAGACAAGCTTTCATGCCACGTGTAGAAACCAAGCTAGGGGAAGGCTTTGGAGAGGATTATCGCCCTTCGGGCAGTCACAGCACTGAAATATGACTGTGTTACACAGAAGAAATGAAACAAATCCAAATCGGTGTCAGGAGACGATTTTATAGGGCTCCCATTGTGTCTGAACTTATCAAGCAAAGCCTTCATTTCCAATCCCATCCAAAAATCACTGAAGCCAAGCACAGCCTGTTCATTGCTTCAGGAGACTTTGGAGCAGGCCCTTTCTGAACCACGGGGGGAACACATTTTGGAGAGGAAAACAAATACATTCTGTTAGTTGTGCAAAACATTTTCAGCATCCCTAGAAATAGGCACATTTGCCTGCAAGCTGACAAAGAGCATTTAGGTAATAGTTAAAATTCAAAAGACATTTCATTATAAATGGAATTCATTTATGCAATAGCAGAGCAGTTTTGTCTTTTCATTTCCCCTCAAACATTTTGTGCTGCACAGAACAATTTTGTACTCATTATTTTTGCAAAATTAACTGCCAGGTCAACTTTCAG